CGATCTCTGGCGTGTCAACCTCGCCGGCGATCATCCCAATATTCTTTTTTTTATTATTATTTAAGAACCTAATTAGATCACATCTAATCAAATTAAATAACCAAAATACTTGATCTAATCAAAGAATCATAACCATGATCATATCAAAAACCTCAATTGATCTCTATCAAAAACAATTTTTTTTTTTGCGGATGAACAGTAATCCGAGAATGTGAACAGTAACCCAAGCCCTAACCTTGATCTTAATCAAAATTTTAATTTAATCCAATTAAATAATCATAACCCTTGAACAACAACACTATAGTTTGATCTAATCAAACTTTTAATTTAATCTAATTAATTTCAGTTTAACAAATTAAACTGAGATGAATAGTAACCCGATGAACAGTACTGCGGTGCACGAACAGTATTTCCGGCGGATGAACAGTAGCAACGGACGTGAACAGTGTTTCCTGGCCGATGAACAGTGTTCTCGAACGTGAACATTTCCGCCGATGAACAGTGTTCTCAGCACCAAACACCACCACCGATGAACAGTGTTCTCGGCCATGAACAGTACCTTCGATGAACAGTAACCATAACTTAAAAATAATTTAATCTTATTAAATTATTACAGATCGGATTCTAAAAACCGCTCTGATACCATCTGTTGGAATCATGACATACAACGCAGCGGAAAAAGTATATCATGACTATTAATCAAAATTAATTAAATATTAGAAGAATACCTGAAACGCTTTCCGAATTTCTACAATAATCTGTCCCGAGATCAATCCAAAATAGCTTCCTCAAGAGAAAAAGCCTCCAATTGAAATCCACCCGTCACCGTAGAGGAGCAATACTGAGAGATAGGTTCTCAAAAATCTATTTCTTCATATTATCTTCATAAGATTTTGAATCTCTTCTCTTAACCTCTCATAAGGCTACATATGAACCCTATTTATAGGATTACACTAGTCTTAGAGATTTTAACTTTAAACAATTCATAATTATCAAAAACTTTATCCATAACAATTAAGGATAGAAATAGAATTGTATTGCATGTATACCTCTTCTAATGACATTAGTGAGACCAATTGGGTTCCATATCGAGAACCAATTATTAATCAAATTAATAATTTTAATTTAACAATCAAATCCCTATCCGACCAATTGTTCATAAAAGCTCTTCCATAATATGGGATTAATTATTAATAAATAATATCTTACATTCACTCCCTTCCAGTATCATTTATTTTAGGCAACTCTTTTAAGCAGGACAACTCACCTATTTGCTCATGCCTAAATTTGCAATTCCCATGAACATAAATAAAAATCATTTTGAAACGTCAAAATATTTTATTTTTATAAGAAAGTAAATTTTTAAAAATATTTTTTTAAAACCACCTGCCGGCAGGAATTTAATAGCTTCATGGGAATGCATAATAAATTAACTCATCATAATGAGCATACTGGATCCTATCTAGACATCCATTATTTTCCTAAATGAAATTTAGCAACCCAATGTTTCAGGTTGTGTAGCGCTTACTAAACAAGCTTAACCATCACATCAAAGCATACTAAATTATCAAATCGAAAATAACAATATCATCAAGTCAAATGGACCATGTAACAATTTGAACTCTCTATCTCTTAGGTGACTCATCCTAGAGAATTCAAATACGGTCTAGTGCTACACACATCATAATGTGTGCTTATGACATACACCCGGAGAATCTCCATTCCCGATGGTTGAGATCCACCACCATATCTCATATATCGGTGTCATGCATAATAACCTGTTATAACAAAGTTATCATTTACTAGTTATAGGTTAAGCACAAATTTAAGAAATTTCTAAGTTAGATCATATCTCCAAGCAAGTGACCATCACAGTGCATGATCTAACAAAATAACTTCTAAGGATATATATAACAATTATATAAATAATACCCAAATTATGTGCAACAATTAAATTTATTAACATTACAATATTATTACATAATTTGTATTGGATGTTCAAGGGCAAATTATTATTACTATTCCAGCATTCTTGCCCGAATAACTAAAGATGATAGTAAAATATTCTGTTGAGGGGGTTGCGGGATGGTTCAGGGAGTTTTGAGGAATTTACAGAGTTCAAGGGGTTTTGCGAAATCTACCCCGAATAACTAAAGATGATAGTAAAATATTCTGTTAGATGTTTAAAGCATTTCAGAGAAAAGATTATCTTTCCTGCTCATATTTTCCTAGAATAGAATTTTAAATGCAGAGGCGATGCTTCTTGTGAAAAAAAAGGAGCTCAAACAGAGTTTCTAACTTCCGTTGCAACAAGCTCCTGTAGACTTTGGATATAAAAAATATTTGTTCAGTATAAATATTGTAAAAACAATATCATAAGTGATTAGCTCATAGATCAAAAATGAGAGTGTGCGGTATATCATGTCAATCTTAGTACTTATGCAAGGGTCCTAATTTGAAATTATTGCTTGATTCTGATCCTCTTCAAATAGTATCCAGGGAACCACTCAGATTGATGTAGTGCACTGTGTACCCAATAAAGGTTAGAAATAATTAAGGATAACAAGAATAACTAGCTTTTTTGACATCAGGGCCTAGGAAAAGTTCTTTGTGCATTCCCATAAAAGAAGTAAATTTAACGGAGATGGAAAAATATTGAACAAACAAAGATTGCGAATTACTAGATTCCTGATTAAATACATGCCTTAGCAGTGTGTAATACACACAATTTTAAGGTCTCAATACCATACCCAACTTAATGAACATTTAGTTTCGTGAAGATTAGTTACAACAAAATGGTCAGCATGTGTCCCAGAAAGTCTAAAAGCAATAATACATGAAACCTTGCTTAGCATATTGAACATTAGCATGCTATCTTAAACCCATAGTTATCCAATACACGGTATGTACCAGGTCATGGTACGAATTCGCGTAATGTGCAACAACGGGTTCATGATAATACAAGAGTAGTGTCACCTGTCAACTTCACTATCATATTGTAGAAGTAACTGAAATTTATTTCAGCTTCATGCATTAATATTAACAGTGTAAAAGATCTCAGGTGGCAGTCAATACCATATGAATCACATAGCCATCATGAATTGCAGCAACAGTAGTGGATCCACCTCCACTGGATAAGAAATAAATAAGCTATAGCTCAATGATTAAACAGATTTAGATACTTTTTAGTAGAATACTAATAGCAAAAGATAGTTGCTCAAGAAAGGACACTGTCTGATTTCGATAATATGCGCAGAATGCATACATCATAATAACGTAATATGAAGCATTGACAACTCACCATATTTACTCCATGTTACAAGCAAGGAAAATATATGCAGCATAAAAGGATGCCCGTTGGCATTTATCAATGAGTGCCATTTAGAACAATAAACATGGGTTAACAACTACAAATCCATGGATGGCCAGAAGAACTAGATCAAACTTAAGATTTGTACTTAAATACACCTTTCATTGGCAAGTATAGCTCCTCATGTAATAACTTCTAAAGAATCTTAGTCAGGTACAACAAATGAACAAAAGCAAAAAGGCCTCTACCTATCAACAACAAGAGAAGTAGCACGCCCAGCAGCAAATGATGTGAGGGCCTGGCACCAAAGTAAACATTTTCAGATAAAAAACTACAAAACTAAATAGCAGAAGCAACAAAAGTATGGCATAAAAATAAAATTAAAAATTCAACAAAAACAGACTTGTACTAGGAACGTACAGCATTTTTGGCTAAGAACAAAGCCGGAACTTTGTAATTCTCAAACATGAGTTTTGCCACCCTGTAATACACTCGAAAAAAGTACAGGTCTTCCATTTAACCTTAAAGGACACAAAAACAAAAACAACTATATGGCAGATTGTGTTTCAAAGCGACAATGACATGAAGGAAAAAAATGAAGCATAAACCATTTATTTGGATAAATTTTACGAATACATATTTCTGAGCATTAAAACATTGCTCAGAAATTAGATTGAGCATCATAGGCTCAAGGAGAAAAACAAAATAATAACTTTAATTGCATTGGCAGAAGGAGAGACGACCTTTCTCTTTGTTGTGGAGTGTTAGAAGATGGTTCCGCAAGCAGCATAGGGCGCTCTCTAGGATCAATTAATAAGTGTTCCCTGTCAAAAAGCAAGAAAAACATATTTATTAATTCCAACAACTAAGATCATTTCAACTGAAACAGGGTTACCTATACTTCATTACTTCTAGAAAAGCACTGATAAGAATATCATTTAGTAGTTTTCATCTGTCAATTTTCAAATCATCATTTTATCTTTCTGGCATTAAAGACTCTATAGTAACATCTTCAAATTTAATCATCGAAAATGGTTATTTAGTAAAGTTCCTAGTTCTTAATGATTGATTGTTTTTTACACTTCTATGTCAACTTCTAAAATATTTCTACATTGTAACTTAGGGTTTTCACTTTTCATGCTCTTTCCAAAGTTCAAATTTTTTGTATCTGATTTCGCATGTAAAAGTTCCCACGTAATTAATTCGTTTATAATTTGTTTTTAGTGTGTTTTGTGGCTTTAATTCAACATTAGTTCTTATTAATCAATTTTGTCTCCCAATTTAATATATTGAGTGGCATAGTTCGGGATAATTGTGATAAAGATTTATCCTGGATCTGCTCCTAATTCAGTTATGATTACAAATATGAAATCCAGAACCTATTTCAACTCAAATGTCGTTACTTTTCGAACCAAAATCTTTTATCACGTGTCCTACAGCATCCCAAGCGGCACTATTTTTCTGCTTAATGTTTTAGTGTTGCGCATGCCACATAGCACGACTAGTAATACAGTTAGTAAATCTTGGAACAATAAAAGTAACAACTGTATCCGTCGCAAGCACCTTACTGAAGCAACAACTAAACAATTTTAGCATTATAGAGTCCACTCACCTAAAAGCATGATCCCATATATTGTCAACGATATCCCAGTCAACAGCAACCCCATCTATAAAGGGTGATATCACCTGAACAAATAAATACACAAGTTTAATGAATTACAGAGATCATTGTAGGCTAAAAAATAACCTTCGTCTAACCTCCATAAAGTCTCTTCTGTATCCCAGGGCTTGACAGCCAACATACAATTTCCTCTTCGTGTTGGTTTTATCTGATTCGGACGATGTCATTCCATTTTTTGGAATCCGAACTGGATTCAGAATCCTTCTCAGATTTGACATTCCCAATAGCTCCTGTTTGACCAATTGACCCCACAACCTTGACAGAACAAATTAATTATTTAAAAAAGAAATTCATAAGAAACAAATATATAACTGGCACGGGCATCACACACATGCACACGCATAAACACCAGTCCTTGTTAATTGCAGGTTAAGTTGACAAACACACTCACTTAATACAAACAAACCCACATTAAAAAAAAAACAAGAAAACTGATTCAAAAGCAGCCACTTCTTGTTAGTAGATGAACCCCACCAAGAAATTTGACATTGTTTAGAACAAACCCACATAAATGGGTTTGTTGCCTATAGACCCCCATCAACCTATCATACTCGCACATTCATTCCCAAATCTGCGTATTTGCTAATTTACGCCTACATTCTCCCACATAACACATTGGTCATCTGGTTTTTTGGGGGGCTATATAGGCCCCAAAAAAAAAAAAGGTTTTTTTGGAAGAGGGGGTATTTTTATCTCTTTTTAAGCTTGAAATTTTACGATGTTAAGTGAGAGGGGCTATTTTAACTCAAGGTCAAAAAAATGTTGAGTTAGATAAGCAAATACTCATATTTGGGGGGGACGGTGGTCTGCACAAACCTTTGACCGCAAAATGCAGCAAACTGAAACACGCTCACAGATGAGAACACCGACCTCGGAGCGTCTTCGCCGGCGAGGCCAGCTTTGCAAGCGTGAGAAACCTAAATCGATCACAATGGCCGACGCTTCGTCTGAAAAGAACCAAAGAGATCCCCAGCAATTTCGACTTACAAAAAACTACAATCTCTCCTAGGGTTTTCATCGAAGCTGATACAGCATGAAGCGAACTTACCGCCGCCGTACATGATGCCGACCTCGGTAGCAGCAAGATCGAGTCTTAAAAAAAATGGAGATTACGAGGATTGAAGGAGGAGAGAGGGTAAAATCGTGATGAAGCAAGGAGGGAAAAGGGGCTTTTACGTAGTGTGGACCCTGAACTCCTTGGTATATGGATTAGTCGCACATTAGTCTCTTACATCATCCTTAATTGCCAGATTGCTCCCCAGATATCGTTATTTGCTTATTGGTCCCTTAAATCTTCAGTTTTCTTGTAACATTGTTTAGAAAATCTGTTAACTCCTCAAACTCTAATTAAGCTAATCAGTAACCCAACATCTCAAGTTACTTTATTGGTGTTGACTATGGCCCTTGAGTATTTCCCCGTGAATTTTTAAAGATTATATAGGGTTTAGTGGGAAGCTAACTGTTGAAATCACCTCAGTTTTGAGTTTGGCAAAGCAGGTTTGGATTTTGGAGGGAATGGGTTTCAGGTTTAAACTCCTTAATCTGGATAGGGGGTATAATGGGTAATCCACTTATTTGGTTATAATTAACCTTATTAACATCACCTAACAAGAGGGACGGATTGGCGAGAAAATTGAAGATTCAATAGCCTATTAAGCAAATAATGAAATGTGATGGACTATCTGGCAATTAAAGATATAAGAGACTGATATGCAATTAACCGTTATTTTTATGGGGACCAAGAAATTTGTATTCGTAATTTACACCCTCAAATCCAAGGTGGTGGTAGTAATATCTATTATTATGAATGAAAAAGTATTATAATTCTGATTCTAGCCTAGCCTAGCCTAGATAACAAGCTAGTGAGTTTGTAATTTTCCCTTCAATCCCTTGTAGACATTAGACCCTCGCATTTCGTACTTCTAATTTTTGAGTATAAATAACACTCCTGATATGATTCCTTGCACATATACTGCCAATGACCCCTAAAATTTTTAACTTTTACCTCCGAAACCCCAAAACTCCATAGAGTCTCAAACAACCTCCAATCTTTTATTTTTTTCCCATCAGAGCCCTTCACAGAGTGCCTTTTACGATTTTGCGGATTTTGCCCTATAAGCGCCTGTTTGGTACTTTCTGTAAACTTCATTTTGATGAGAATTGGTCAGAGGTTGCCAGTTGGGCTTTTTTTACTGCCACATTAGCTTTCTATCTGCACAATCAAAAGTAAATAGGTTATAGTAGCTTTCAAGCGAAAACAGCCGATCAAATAGGCCATGTTCACTCTACGAAAATGTCATTTCCATTCTCACATGTAAATGGATTCGGATCCTCTTCACTATAAAAAAAAATATAAAATACAGTGAAGAGATAGCTATCTAATCACACAGCTGATAGTTATGATTTTTTCATAGATATAAATGAACTCCGCTCAACCCACTCAGAATCCTGGGCCCAAACCCTCGCGGCCGAGACCTCTCCAACTAGACCTGCTCCTCCACGCCCATTCGACCGTCCCGAGCTCAAGCTCTACCATAGACCTTTCAAACTGCTGCCGTCCCGGCGTAATATAAACAAACTCTGCCCACACACATGCCCTCCTCATCATCCTCCCTCACCTATCCATCCCTCCTCTCCTCCTCCCCCTCCCTACCACCTTCAACCCAGCATTGTCACCATGCCTCCTTCTCATAGCAAGAAAGGTACAAACAGGCGCCTCCTCCATCTACTCTTCACGGCGCCACCCGTTCCCCAGCCCATTCCCCGGCTATAACTCCGTCATCACCCTACTTACTCCGTGCACCGTCTCCTCTCGGCTCGAAACGCGTCGCGCCTCTCCTTTCGCGATGGCTAAATAAAATCCACAAACTCTATTGGACGGCTTTCGTCCTCTACCGTCCCTTTACGACCGTTCCCCTTACTGTGAGACTTCTTGGGGTTTTCGGAGGTAAAAGTTAAAAAATTTTAGGGGTCATTGGCAGTAGTAATGTGCCGACTACACCGACCCTCCGCCTCTACCGACATGCTCTAGCCTCGCGCCCGCGTCCGCCCCCGACGCTGCCCACCTTCCCTTCGCTCCTCGGGTCCTGCTCCTCCCCGCGCCGCCGCTCCCTGCACTCCCACGTGATCCGGTTCGGGCTCCACTCCGACGCCTACGTCCTCAACACGCCATCTCTCATGTACTCCTCCTTCGGAGACGTGCCTCCGCCAGGAAGGTGTTCGACCAGAACCTCGGCTCCGCGGACGTCGTCTCCTGGACCGCGATCATCAGCGCCTACTGCGAGCGGGGGCGATGGAGGACGCGAGCCTGCTGTTCGACCGGGCCCCGGAGAAGAACCCGGTGACGTGGAACGCGATGGTCGGGGGCTTCGCGAGGCGGGGCGGAGGGAGGACGCCCGCGGCCTGTTCGAACAAATGCCGATAAGAACGCCGCTTCTGCGGGCTCGATGGCTCGGGTTCGCCAAGGCGGCTGTGCGCCGACGGGCGTGGCGGCGTTCGGGAGATGCTCGGCCGCGCGTGCCGCCGAACGAGGCCGCCCTCGTCAGCGCCGCCTCGGCCTGCGCGCAGCTGCGCTCGTCGGACCACGGCGACTTCGTCTACCGCTACGCGAGGGAGCGCAGGTCGGAGATGAGCGTGTTCTGGTCACGGTGACGTTCGTCGACATGTACGGGAAGTGCGGGAACATCAAGAAAGCGATACGATATTCAGCGGAATGCCCGTTAGGACGTGTACACGTGGAACTCGATGATATCGGTCTGGCCAACAACGGGCACTCGCACAAGGCGCTGACGCTCTTCTGGAAGATGAAGCTTCGACGTCCGACCGAACGACGTGACGTTCATAGGGTTGCTAAGCGCTTGCAGCCACTCTGGAAGGTCGATAAAGGGCGATGTTCTTGCGGTTTTATAAGATTAGACCTTCGGAGGAGCATTACGGTTGTGTCGTCGATTTGCTCGCGGAGCGGGAATGATAAAGGAGGCGGTTGAGTTTATGGATGGTATGCCGGTGGAGCCTCAGCCGGGGCTTTTGGGAGCGATTGCGGGAGCCTGCAGGACTCATGGCGAGCTTGAGCTCGGAGAGGAGGTGGCGAAGAGGTTGATCGAGTTGGAGCCTAAGCACGGAGGGAGATACGTCCTGTTGGCGAACATTTATGCGGCCGCGAGGAGATGGGATGATATGGAGATGGTGAGGAGAATGCTGAAGGAGAGGAGAGTTTCGAAGGTTGCGGGGAATAGCTTGGTTGAGCTAAAGTCCGTCGGCGATGAGAGCTTCAGTCCGTCGGGAACGAGAGTTGCAGGTTAGAGAGGAGGTGCTTGCATTTTATTTGGACTTGGGATGATGGGTTGATGGATGATTTTTGGTGGGATGCTCATTCACCGTATTGTTGCTGAAACAAAACGCATGACCTGATGACCCCCTCGACTTTAGGGCATTTTGCACATAACTCCTCTAGACTTTTGAAGTTTTTCTAACGGAACCACCCTGACATTTTTACCGTAAGTGGAGAAATGACGAAGACGGCCTTGTTGAAAAACAAAACGAGGGAGACGTGAGATGCTCTATTGTTGCAAGGATAATTTTAATAAACTGGGGGGCATTTTCCATCTTTTTTCTGCCATGCGTTTCGCACGTGAGCCTTCAAAATAGTCCTGTTACTTTGGAGGGTTAAGAGAGACAAGTTTAGGGGAGGATTAAGTGGAATAAACAAAATTAGGGGGTGTTATGTCCGTAAAATCCACAAAAGCACAGAAGGAAGGTGAAATTAATTCAATGTTAAAATTTATTATTTTGCCTATTAACAAAGGATTCTATGTCATAATTCTTGAAAGATATCTGCTTCTAAATTCTGAGTTACTATTATGAATATTGGATTATTTTGGAGGGATAATCAATCTGTAAATTTTTTTTGCTGGGTTTTGCGGACTTATTATCGTAGATTTTGGTAGTTTTAAAATTCTGTGTCGTGATTCTTTAGATTATTTAAATTCTATGCGTTAGTCCAAGAAATTATCATAAATTTTGGTATTGTTTTTAGAAGTTGTTTGTTCAAATGTTGCATCTTCATACCTGTAGTTTATTGCATCTTCTAATTGCATCCTTATCCTAATATTATTTCATGTACAATTAATGTTGGATATTCATGTGTGTGTATAATCTCACATCAGATATAACAAAAAAGATTAATGTGTTTAAAAAAAAACTTTTGGCTAAAATTGAATCCTAGCCAGTTTTTTATATTTCTTGGATAGTTTCTTTGATTTTTCTTTGGAAAAGTTTGTTCCCATCCGTGGTAGTAGTTTTTTATCAGACGAATTTCGCCCCAGATTCAATACCTGATGAGGTGCTTGAAGCATTGGATTCTGAGGTTCAGATTCATTTGAACTCAATTTCAACTTCTAAATCTTTTCCAAATGTTGGATTTCTTTTTGTCTCGACGAGTTGATCTTCGGTTGATTTAGATCCCTATTTGACACTCGTAATATCACCGCACATGTCTAGAGGCGGTGACTTATAGAATACAGAAAAGAGAGTAAGTGATGAAATGGAAAACGTTCACATGATACCAAGCAATTGCTTACCAAAAGACAAAATTATAAATGCATCATTGAGATCTTCACGTTACCGATTTTTTCATCGAGTAACTTTGTCTGAACTATGGAAAAAGATCCTCTGCGTGTCATCAGTTTCCATAGGTAGCTCCTCTTGAAAGAAACGTCGAAAAAATTAGATATCACCCCTATATAATGCATCTCAAATTTCACATAGACCATCTTCAGTTTCGTCGACTGAGAATTTCATCGGAGATCTTCGAAGCAGAACATTATTAAAGAGGAGCGGATCATCGATGGTTCGAAAATGTCACACACAAACTCATCAATCCATAATGCTCAACCTGGAAAAAAACACTGACGTTGTTGTTAGATATCAGCTACTCTGCGATGTTTAGAGGAGCGGTGATCCAACTTTTTGAAGCTTGAAGGGGTTTTTGGTTAACTTGCCCATGTGTACCTCGATGTATCAGTGTGTATTTTCGGTACGTCATGATTTCAGAGAGATGGGTATTTTCTGGAAAAAAAATTTGTTTACATCTCTCCTAACACAGCGTTATTCCTCATTAAGGTACTCATCTGTTCATAATAATGTCAAAAACACAAAAACACAATTCAGCATTTCTCAACCCCACCACCACAGCCAACATTAAATAACCCTCAGATTCCCTTCTCAAGCATTGCTCGTACCCTAGTCGGCAACCCGTAAAGCCTAATAAACCCAGCAGCGTCCGCCTGATTATAAATCTCTCCGTTCTCAAACGACGATATATCCTCCCTATACAAACTATATGGACTCTTTCTAGCCACGACAGTCACCGATCCTTTATAAAGCTTCAAAGTAACGGACCCCGTTGTGGTCTCTGTTATCTCCTTCATAAAAGCATCCATCGCTTTACGAAGGGGATCAAACCATCGACCAGCATAAACAAGCTCAGCGTATTTGAGAGCAATACGGTCTTTCTCTTGAATTGACTCCCGATCTAGGGTTAGAGATTCGAGCTCTTGAACTGCAGCGAAGAGAATAGTACCACCAGGAGTTTCATAGACTCCTCGGCTCTTCATGCCAACGAGCCTGTTTTCTACCATGTCTATTCGGCCGATTCCATTTTCGCCACCAATTTCATTGAGCTTGGTGAGAAGGGCTGCTGGTGAGAATTCCCTTCCATTGAGAGAAACGGGAATTCCAGAGACGATGCCAATCTCTAGATATCTGCAGATTTTTATACTAGTTAATTTGACGAAAGATCAAGAAACGAAATCCCAGAAATGGGTTAATTTGCGCATAAATACCCCAAGTTTACCTTGTTTGAACTTAGATACCCAAAAGCATTTTTGCCCAAAAAAAAACCTCAAACTTCAAGAAAATTTTAACTTCCATACCCAAACCCGTAAGTTTCTGTTAATTTTTTGTTAAAGTTGGGCCTTAGGGATATCAAAGTAAGATTTTTCTTGAAGTTTGGGGTATGAAAGTTTAAAATCTGTTCAACTTGGAGTATTTTTTGTGCAAAGACAACTTTGGGGTATCATAAAATGAGGTAAATGCCGGGATATTTTTCAGGCCAAAAGAAAAAAACTTTATAGAACTTTCCTTCCATTGAAGGAAATGTGTATGCTAGAGACGATTCCAATCTCTAAATTTTGGCAGATTTGTGTAGAAGTTTGATGTGAGATCAAGAAAGGGTTAACTGCACATTAACCTCCTGTAGTATTGTTGTTTTGAACTTACTGCCCCTGTAGTTTCATTGTTAGAGATATACCCCAGGGTTTTTTTTCTTTCTTTTCTTTCTTTTTTCATTTTACACTTCATGAAATTTTGGCAGATACTGTTGCACCTGAGTGATATTAATGAGTCTCCCTGAGAGTAAAAAAGTAATTAAAAAAAAGAAAAGAAAACCCAGGATCCATCTGCGATAATGAAACTACAGGGTAGCGAGTTCAAAAGAAGATACTGGAAGATTGATGTAAGAGCAAAAAATGATATCACCATGGTCAATAATGTCTTGAAGGTAGATTATAAGATACTTACTCAGGCCGGTCTGGTGCATCTTCGGGATCAACAGACATCATGTACATGTCTTTCTTTGGTTCATTCGCAGGATCCTCTAGAATGTCTCCCTTCAAAAGTCAAAGCAACCCATTATAACTTGCAGATATATGGAGATAGTTGTATTTAGCATAGTTAATTTTTCATTCCATGTACTGATGTATAGGGTTTCGATAATACAGAATGCATCAATGGAAGAGAGGAGATGCACTACCAACAAGCAGCAAGCAATACAGATATGAAAAGAGTTCCCATGCCTTGGTCAGTTCTATAAAAAAGATCTGCTGAGGGCAGTTTAATAGGAAAGAGAACTGTAAACTGATCGATTTTTTGTCATCTTCCAAATTTTACAGGCAGAAGGATCTATATTAGCTATACCTCTCAGCGAGATAATCATATGAAAGAGACTCAGGTATTAGCTATACCTCTCAGCGAGATAATCATATGAAAGAGACTCAGGCTTCTACTGTATGGACGATTGACAACATCTAGGATGAAAGCATTTAGGATTCTACAGAGATGCATATGCTTTTATACAAATGCCAGAAAAGAAAAGGTATCTAGAAAATGGTACAATTGGCTTTATCAAAGATTGGTACTTACTTTCAAAGTTTTAACGATTGGGAAATGCTAATGAGAGAGAGAGAGAGACTAGAAGACCCAAAAATGCCTGTTGAAGTAACCATAAGAATTTTTTTCACTGATTCTTATTGATGATGAGAAACCCATCATAACTTTTTATTGTTTTCTTCCAGAACAGTATTTACATACATAGAACTTGAAACCTCTTTATAAAGAACTTTGACAAGATCAATCGAGATGGTTATACAAGCGTGATAGTTGGAAATAAATGAACTGAAATGTCAAAATGCCACCCAAGACAACTCATAGAGACATTATCACAAATCACAAGAATTTCTTGTGCATGTGCATAGAAAGAGAGAGTTACCTCATGACTAAGGTGCCATAGATTCCGGTCTCTACTGTATATTGATTTCTTCGAAACAGGAACAGGAACATTATGTTTCTTAGCATACTCGATAGCATCTTCTCGTCCTGTGATCTCCCACTCCCTCCATGGAGCAACAACTTTGAGATCCGGATTTAAGGCAAAGAATGTCAATTCGAATCGAACCTGCGAGCCACATTGTTTACAAAAATATAAGCTTAAAAAATAATATAACTGAAGAAGTAAACAAAACAAATTATAGAAGTTGATCATACCTGATCATTTCCCTTTCCAGTGCATCCATGAGCAACTGCATCGGCTCCTACTTCTTTAGCAACATCAACCATTGCCTATTTTTTCAGGTATAACATGTTCAGACTTTTTAAGTTCCCACTTTCAGGGTGAAGGCAAAATAAATTAGGAAGAAAACTAATAATGTAAGGTAAGAATCGGGTCAGTATCCAAGAAATAATGTCCTTAGAAGTCAATAATAAAAACAGTCACAGTAAGAGGTATTAAGATATTCTATATGAATTTTGTAATCTCATGCATGCCTCAGGGGAAACTGCACATAATGCTCGTTTGGTAAATTAAATTCATTGTGCATTGACCCAAAAAAGATACTCTATATGAACACCTAAAGAAGTTTGTATCAGCTATGGCTTAAGAAACTACCAAATTCCTATAAGATATTAAGAACAATAGGGCAAGGCAAGCCAGTGGAGACATCTTAGAGAATATTTTTCTTCAAGTTTCATGTGATAGGAGACAAGAATAAAGATAGGTGATGAGCAAATTGTGTAACAAAACGTAAAGCTTTTAGGTATTAGACAATAATAAACTAGTTCGTTTTGAAAATAAAGCGAAACAAATTAGGAAGAAAACCAATATTCAAGTTAAAAATTGGGTCAGTATCCAAGAAATGATTAGACCTTAGAAGATGACACACAAAAAAAGTAACAATAAATAGGCATTAAGATATTTTATATAAGCACCTAAAGAAGTTTGTATCATTTAGTCCACTATAAGAAGTTTGTATCAGATATGGTGGCAGAAACCACCAAATTCCTATAAGATATAAGGAACAATAGGGTGAGATGAGCCTGTGGGGACATCTGAGGGAATATTTTTCTTTGAAGTTGATGAGCAAATCAGGTAACAAAAAGTACAGGTTTTAGGTATAAGACAATTATAATAAAAAATTGAGAAAAAAAAGACAATTATGAAGTTATTCATTTTTTTTTAAATAAAGTGAATATAAAAAGCTGAAGTTAATCTTTTTTTACAGACAAATGATAAAGGAATTAGATACTATCTTGAACAGTAAATACTGTAACACATATCGGCGGTGTCTAACATATAACTTGCAAAAAAAAAGTATTTAGTTTTGATTTTAATAAAGCTAGATAGGCTTGGCGAGAATATCCAACCTTTGTAATCCTTCAAAGTCAAAGAATTTCATAAACAAACAACCAACGAAATACATAGCTATAAGTTTCCAATAAGCGCATGAAATATGCATATGAAATCACCTTAGCGATAACAGGACGAGCCATTGACGTTCCAAGCAAGTACTTCCTCTCATATATTGCACCAGCACGCAAACAAGGGAATATGTAATCCTTAACAAATTCCTCTTTTAAATCCTTTACCACGAGCTGACAAGCACCACTATCTTTTGCTTTTTTTTCAAGACCATCCATCTCCATGACACCCTTAAAAAATTAGAAACTTTTCAGAAAATTGTCATAGGACGAATACCATAACAAGTTTTCAAGAAAAAGTTCAGTCAAAAATGTCATGCAAACTAGTGTTTCATGTCGAGCATTACACGATGGTGCAAGGGAATGCAAAGAATCAAGTAAATTAAGCAATAAACCTATTCAAGCATTAGAGCAATGGTTCTATAGGACTGACAAAAAAAGTTCATAGAATCATAAACTGCATGTTTATACCAATATATTTCATTGAATTCATTATGTCCTTATGAATGAAAAGGATTATATAACATGCATGCTACAATAAGAAAAGATCTTCTGTCAGCCAGACAAGAATTTTACATCAACAAGATAGAATATGAAAGAGAGAGCATATACATTGATAGTAGACATGCAAGGAAGATTAATATAAAACAGGATAAATTGAAGCAATTAGTGACCTACTTGACCAACATCTGCAGTGAAGCAAACAACATCACACCCATAGTTCACCCTGCAACAAGTAAATAGTGGAAGTTAATAAAATTCAGATAACATAGCCATGCATAACCAAGAAGATACACATTGACTTGAATACCGATTTTATGTCTTTATTCGTTCATGGTTTACAACTACATATACATGACAGAAAACACAATAAAATTTACACACATAACAAATTCCAAACTATTAAACATCAGGAAAGACGTTCCGTTTAGTGAACATAAAATCATGAGGATTTACACATGAATGTATCCCTTCAGAATTGCTTTTGTAAGAAAATTAACATCGAGAAACAATTCCTTGTGTCATGATGCTGTAGGAAATGCTGTAGGAAATGCAGAAGATAATTGCACACAATCTACATGGACAATTATCATTGAGGTTTTTTTTAACCTTTTTTTTGTGGATAAACTGCACATAAATTACCTTATCCATACCTTCAGTAGCACTAAATCCGCATCAACTCGTTTGTTAGCGCTAATCCAACCTCAATTCATGAGAAAGAGGGGTATAGCTTGCAATTTGTCCTTCTAAAAATGGCATATCAGGGATGTTGGGTGCTAGTATATGAGTTGAGGGGTGTTCAGTGCAAAATGTATAGATAAGGAAGGTTATGTGCAATTTACCCTTTATTTCTTATTCTCTTTTTTATTTTTTACGAGAATGAGGTCTCACATCACATGTCAACTTCAAAATCAGATCCAAATCAATGAAAGTAAGAGATTCAAGACAGTAATAGACACCTTAGCCAAGGGACAATGACAGATGTGTCAAGGCCACCGCTATAAGCTAGGACAACTTTATTTAATTTCCCACGTAATCCACTTCCCTTTTGACTCCCATGAGCATCAGTTGTGCTAGAAGGGATCCCCGCTGAAACATCCTTTTCGGAGAGCATACTTTGACTAGCTGCACAATAAAAAAAAATATAAATTAGAAAAATATTCAGGGCCACCAGTCTGAATTAAAGAATAATTTGTTACATAAAGCACTTAGTTTTGTCATACTAATAACTTGATTGAGATTGAAATAGTCTTCATAGATAACATATAGAAAAGATAATGTTTTTCCTTCCTCTTTGTTACTTGGCTCTTCGCCCTAGCTTTCCGCAATATGATATAAGCTTCTTAGTTTAAATGAAACAAAATAATAATAAAAAGGAGAGCCAGTGGTTTAATTTTTTAGTTCTACCACCAAACCTTCAATAACCCAGGTTCTAATAAAGATTTAGGTTATTAAAAAAATATGACCATATTAAGAAAAAAAGAACAATAAAACAAAGAGAGAACTTCGAAATTCTATTTTCATTTCGGATGGATACCGGGGTTCTGAGCAAAATGTCTTTGGCTTCGGCTTTGATGAATGACGGGGGCGCCACTGATAGCATTTGAAATTGCTCTTACCTGAAAACAGTGCCTGCATTATTATTTTTAAAAATATATAAAAAATGAAGCAAAAGGCTTTACTAGCTTCAATACCTTCAACTGTGAGATGGAATTTTTCAGAAAACAGATATTATCACCAAAAACTGGAGCCCCTACAAAAAAAGAGCGACTTTTTTGCAACAACATTGATCGACTATTGATACATAAATAAATAAATTATATCAATTGCTAATCCCTCAACTCCGAAAAAAGACTCAAACTTTACTACAGTTACTTAAAAATTGACCGCAGAAAAACTTAAGAAAGGGCTTTGGGGGTGGATTTACCCAATCTATTGTGGAAATGGGAGGAGATCTTTGGTGAAGAAACAGATGGAACAGCTTGAAGCTGAGCCATTTTTTAACCCAAAAAAATTTTCAAAAAGAAATAATAATAATAATAATAAGCCGGGTCTCTACAAAACCTAGGGTTTTTGAGAAGTTCACCCTTCCACTGGGAAAACAGCGGCGAGGTCTCGATGATGAGGTAATAAATGAAAGCGTGCTTTTCGATGTTATTATTTAAATGTTCAATAATTTGCAACTAGTCCCCTCAAGTCCTTGAAATTGCTACTGGGTAGCAAGATTTAAGACTTGGGGATCCAGTAGAAATATAAGGTTTTTATTTTGGTACTGAATTAGGCCATGAGATGGGCCTAGTTACGAGGGCCATTCTATGTTATCAACGGAAAACATTGATAAAAATGGAGGATACGTAGAAGTAAATCTCCTTTTTTTTTTTTTACTCTCCATTTCAGATTTAAATACGATATACTTCAGAAGGATTGGTAGGGAAATTAAAACTATGAAAAATATGGTGAGATTAGTAGTGCAGCATGCCCAAATATGCAATTTTTAATTTACTTTTGCAGTGTTATATTTGAATTGTTTGCACGCCGTAGATTAGTATTTTTGCGGAGTCGCCATACTTTATGAGACGCGCTGCACGCGGATATATTTGTTCTATGTTTCAAATTTGATTATCTGAAAGTTTATTTAATATTATGCGTAATAATAGACGTACTCTTTGTCATTTAATTCACTCACTAAATCTCTAATGGGTTCTAGTTTCTCTATTAATTTGCCTTGTTCCTCATTTAATTTTTAACACATTTGAGGAAGGCAAACAGTAGTCTTCCAAAGGCGTAAGTTTCCTTTCTTGTCCAAACTTCAACTACACAAGCCTTTCACGATCATTAATCTTTGATCAGACGCTCAAATACAAAAAAAAACGTCAAACTTTATAGCTCGATTGGCTCCTTCAACCCCCCCCCCCCGCCCCCCCCCCCCCCCCCGCCCCCCCCCTCCCCCCCCCCCCCCCCCCCCAACCCAACCACCACCCACCCATCAATTGAAATTGAATCAATTGCTATTTATAATTCTCCTCATAAAAAATGAAAAGAATTATATACTTAAGTATCATATATTGAAATTGAACCAATTAACATATGTAAATGCACAATGCTTATTTCCAATGACTTGCTTTAAATGTAAATTTTTTTTCCAAGCCACTTCATCATTTCATATTTATATGTAGGCAATTGTTCCTTTTGAAATATTATGAAATTGAATCAAAATTATTTAATATTATATAAAACTAAAAATATATATAAAATATTAGGTCAATTAACAATATTATGAAATATTATGTATAAAATTTAATTAATTGCCTATATATAAATATGAAATGGTGAAGTGACTCGGGAAATTTTTTTATGTTTAAAGTAAATTGATCATTAGAAAGAAGTATTGCGCATCTACATAATAAAACATAATATAATCCAAGCAATGGGATAGAAATGAATACATTAGGTAAGTAATTGCCTACATAGAAGCACAAAGAATCGCGGCTGCAGCATAAATAAAATATCCTCTTTAAAGTTACAGGAAGCAAAAAAGAAAGGGATGTACAAAACATGCATTTCTTTTAAAGTTACAATAGATCAATGATGCATGCAAGTAAAATCCCTAGTAACATAAATTGTAATAAGAGAATAGACAAAGCCTTCGGAGTTCATTGTTCCCATAGACGAGCAACGGACAAAGTATCTTAGCAAGTGTGACGATCAAACAACTTTCCAGTTACGTGCACACACATAAAAAAATGGAAAGCCAAATGAAAATAGCGTAAACTACATTAATGCTCATCTAAAGACCCATACTTACAATATTCCACATAAATTTTAGGGGAAAATGCCTCTAGCCCCCAAAACGCGTCAGAACGTCCCCTCAAGACTTTTTCAACGGGCACTTTGCCCCCAAAAAGCACCGCGATTTTCCCCTAGCCCCCAAAACGCGCCCCCACGTGAAACACCGTTTAAAGCTCATACGAACTGCCCAAAATACCATTCTATTTAACCGCCTCCCGTTAACCTACCATACCTCGTTGTTCGTACCATTTCATCTCTGTTTTGTCCAAGCGAACCATCTCCATAAACCCATTTCAAAACCCTAAACCTAAATCAACCGACTCCCAAGCACACCGACTCCAAAGCACAGAGATAAAAAATGGCTGCTGATTCAACCTCCAAAGTTTGCCTCCATGTAGACCACAGTGAAGAAGAAGACGCATCGTAGTTCGTCATCTCAAAAAGAGCCCAGACAACAACAGAGTGGACTGATATTGGAGCTACGATTGATAATTTTCTAGAGGACATCGCAGCCAGTCACTCTCGTCCCAGAAGTCAAGCTCAAACAGAAAGTCCAGTCCCCCACCCAGATCTAGAGGGCACCACCGGCACCATCGGTGCCACCGACGATGCCACTAGAGTTCTCCTTGATCTACAGAAAGGAGATAAAGAGAAGGTTAAAAAAAGTGATTTTTACCACAAATTTTATGTTGTTTATTATGTTGCATAATGTGTTAATTGTGAAGGATACTGATAAGTTGTGAAGGTTAGCATGTAGTTGTCAAGGAAATTCATTCATTGTTAGAGTTATGAATTTTTTTGTCAAGGTTATTTATCTGTTGTGAATGTAACCGTTTAGTTGGTAAGGTTAAGGTTTACTTGATAAGGCTCTGAGTGTGTTGTGAAGGTTACTGTTTACGGGTGTCTATTAGCTGTTGAGGTTACTATTAACCTATAAGGCTTATGCTTTTATTGTTAAGCTTATTGATTGGTTGTTGAGGTTAGGCTTTGGTTATTAAGGTTTCTGGTTTGTTGTTAAGGTTATAGTTTCTTTGTCAAGTTTATAGCATAGTTATTATGTTTACTGATTATTTTTAAACTATTTATGTCATATAGTTTTGCTTTGTAGACAAAGGGCAAAGTCCACTTGTACGTTGCGGCACACATCCAGCTTCAGTGCCTATTAGGAGTTCATAGTCACTTTGGTGCATCGTATGAAGCCAAGGTACTAGGAGGCCTATAAAGATAGTGTATTCAGACACTACGTCCATTTTGGCCCTCCCGGTCTTGATCTTCCTACTTTTAAGTACATTTTGAGACAGTGGGATGAGAAAAAGATGAAATTTATCTTCACCGATAACAAAAGCTGGAAAAGAAATCGTGTGCTCATTCAACCTTGAGTGGGTAATGAGCCATACGTGATTCTCCAATGTGGGGCATCTTGTTGACCATAACCGAGATAAGAAGAATAGGATTTGGTCCGGGTTTTTAACAAACCTAAGGGTGATAGCAGTACAGCTCCTCCTCTAGCCCCCACCAGACGTAATGTTGAGGATCTGCTTATGAAGTTGGTGCAATCAACTGATCGTCGAGATATGAAGGACTTTGTCCTGCTACGAATCCTCTATTAGCTGAGCATGATCTGGTGTCCAAGCAGTGTTCTTGGAGTTCTTAGGCATTTATTCAAGTATGTTGACAATATCGAAAAGGCCAATAACACTGCTTGGGGGACCTATATATTCAGTGAGACATATGATGCGATTGAAAAGGCACTGAAGGGTCCTGGACCAGGGAAGACGATTGTATATCTGCAAGGGTGTACCCAGCTTGTTTGTGTAAGTAATCCTATTTTTTTATTATTGATTGTGAAGGTTAGGGTTTAGTTGTTAAGGTTACAGGTTAGTTGTTAAGGTTACGGTTTGTGTGTTAAGGTTATAGTTTGGTTGTTAAGGTTATGGTTTTATTGTTATCGTTACTTATTTGTTATTAAGGTTAAGGGGTGTTTGTTAAAATTCTATTTCTCTTACGTACAGTTGTGGTACTATGAACTTACTGGTATCAAAAAGCCAGTAGTTAGAAGTACTTTGCGGCCTCCCCTCACAAATTGGGTGAGGCTGGAAGAAGTTGTTGGATCTTTGATATTGTCCACTATTGTAGCTAAAGCAAGCAAAACTATGATAAAGTTTCCACAGATCCATGGCCAAGCTCAAAGCATTGAGTGAGGTTTGTGGGGGAAGGAGCAGGGGAAGGAGAAAGAGAAGAAAAGAGGGAGAGGGAAGAATAAGGAACCAGCTACAGGAGACGCCGGTAGGGTACGTGGCCTAAGACAGCCTCTTCTCAAAAAGAAAAGGGGAGCAAAAAATGATAACTCACTTGAAGGATGAGTAAGCATTTAGCAATTTGTGAATTTTATTACTTTTTAATTAATATTTTTAATAATACTGTATTTGTCCATTGCATAAGCGATGCCATAAAATATTGATGAAGAGGTCAAGCAGCCAAATGAGGCAATTGAAAAAATAGAATTGCCTCAGCAAGTGATCTATTGGAAGAGCATAGCGATAATGAATCAAAAATTACATTGCGATAATGAGAATAAATTCAAAGATCAGATTGCTACCGATCGTGTAAAGATAAGTTCTCTTTCTGTGAAAGTGGCTACGCTGTCTGCTCAAGTGAGGAGGCTGAGAGAGGAACTTAGCGAAGCCCGATCCAAAAGCCTCACTATATATAAGAATAAGAGGCCTGCTGCAGAGGTGTCCGACCCAGCGATGGAGCTGCAAACTTGTATAGGTTAGATTTAGTTTTCAATTACATTTGATTGTTATGGTTAAATATTGGTGGTTAAGTATATGGATTGATTGTTAAGGTTATAGATTTATTGTTCAGGTTATAGATTTATTGTTAAAGTTAGAGATTGATTGTTAAATATACGGATTTATTATTAAGTATATGGGTTAGTTGTTAAGGTTATATAACTGATGTTAAGTTTTTTCATAATAAACTTCTGAATTTTCAAATTTTTTTTTGAATCAGGCACTCCATGCAATATGAGTGGCACTGATATACAGTTTGAGGGAGAAGGCCCTCAATGATTCTTTGCCGATGTTAATAAGGAGAGCGAAGGCCCTCTAATAGCGGAAGTCCGTCCATTATTTTTTTTCTAACATTAATAAGGCACTACTGGATTTACACCTTTAAGCGACGGACAATTCTGTTACTAAAGACCTAAATTCCGTCCCTATAACTTTTAGCGATGGAAAAAATAAATTTCGTCGCTAAAAAACCGTCCCTACATTGAGGGTCCCTAATTGAATCTTTAGCGACGCAAATTCCATCGCTACTTTTTAGCGACGGGAT